TTCAAATTGTTTCGCATTCCACGGCATTTGTTTCTTTGATTTCATAAGATTCACGTGCCTGAGTGTTGAAAAGAAAACCTCAAAACCGGTTTACGAATGAAAACGATCGCCAAAAAAAATATTTACAACCATTATTTTTAAAATGCCAGAAGCCGCCTCGAATCCCAGCTTGCGAAAAAGGCGGGTTATATAAATAGGAGAGGGGCGGGTTGCTGACGCTGATAGGTTGTGGGTCTCCAACCACGTCTGGGTGGGGGGTTCAGGGAAGCCCCCACAACCCACTCCTGCTTTCTGAACTTCGCTGCCCTTCCCTCCAATCTCAGGCAGTGAAGTCCAAGACGGGCCCTGGAGAATACCTCCGCAACTCCCTCTGGCACACTGGGGACACGGCCAACCAGGTCAAGCTGCTCTGGAAAGACCCTCGCAACGTCGGCTGGAAGGACAAGACCTCCTACCGCTGGTTCCTGCAGCACCGGCCCCAGGTGGGCTACATCCGGTAAGTGGCAAGGACCAGGTGCACAGGTGCGCCAGGGATGGGTGGCAGGGGGAAAGGCCTGGCTCAGTGGTGGTCCTGTGAGGCGTTCCCAAAGCAAAGGAAGGATTTGTTGTTGTTTAGTCGCTTAGTCATGTCTGCCTCTTCGTGACCCCCTGGACCAGAGCATGCCAGGCACTCCTGTCTTCCACTGCCTCCCGCAGTTTGGTCAAACTCATGTTTGTAGCTTTGAGAACACTGTCCCACCATCTCGTCCTCTGTCGTCCCCTTCTCCTTGTGCCCTCCATCTTTCCCAGCATCAGGGTCTTTTCCAGGGAGTCTTCTCTTCTCATGAGGTGGTCAAAGTCTTGGAGCCTCAGCTTCAGGATCTGTCCTTCCAGTGAGCACTCAGGGCTGATTTCCTTCAGAATGGATCAGTTTGATCTTCTTGCAGTCTATGGGACTCTCAAGAGTCTCCTCCAGCACCAGAATTCAAAAGCATCCATTCTTCGGCGATCAGCCTTCTTTATGGTCCAGCTCTCACTTCCATACATCACTACTGGGAAAACCAGAGCTTTTACTATACGGACCTTTGTTGGCAAGGTGATGTCTCTAGTTTTTAAGATGCTGTCTAGGTTTGTCATTGCTAAGGAAGGATTAGACTCTGATAATAAAATACACACAGGCTTGAACCAGCAAGACTCTGGGAGGAGTGCGTGTAATAATAATTCCTGTCTACCCCTCGGCCCAGGTCGTTTTATTCACACAAAAACTTTTTACACAGTGTACGTAAGAACCAATCGGATTTCTAGGAATTAAGATGTTTAAAGCTAAATTAGAAAGAATGAAAGATGTTAAGTGATCAAGTTATTTTTTTTTTTGAGAAAATTGATTTTGGAAAACTGTTAAAATGATATACAGTGGTACCTCAGGTTACAGACGCTTCAGGTTACAGACTCCGCTAACCCAGAAATAGTGCTTCAGGTTAAGAACTTTGCTTCAGGATGAGAACAGAAATTGTGCTCCGGCAGCGTGGCGACAGTGGAAGGCCCCATTAGCTAAAGTGGTGCTTCAGGTTAAGAACAGTTTCAGGTTAAGTACGGACCTCCAGAACGAATTAAGTACTTAACCCGAGGTACCACTATATACCGTATCTTCTTGTTTTCTGTTGTCGCTGAACGCAAGACACCCTGCAAAATTTATTTCAAACCTAGGAAGAGGTTATAAGCTCCCTTTTCAGTATCCAATTAACGTATTTGTCTTGTTTTGTGAAATGCATATTTAAAAATAAAACTAGATAAGGTGAGTTCCTAAGGTACAAGGGGCCTTTATTTGGGGTTATTTCTAAAGAGATTTTGTGTTATTATTTCAAAAAATCATCTCGGAGGCAGGAACCTACATTGGCTCCCAGTACATTTCCGAGCACAATTCAAAGTGTTGGTGTTGACCTTGAAAGCCCTAAATGGCCTCAAAGGCCCAGTAGACCTGAAGGAGCGTCTCCACCCTCATCATTCAGCCCAGACACTGAGGTCCAGCTCTGAGGGCCTTCTGGCGGTTCCCTCCCTGCGAGAAGCCAAGTTACAGAGAACTAGGCAGAGGGCCTTCTCGGTGGTGGCATCCGCCCTGTGGAACGCCCTCCCACCAGATGTCAAAGAGAAAAACAACTACCAGACTTTCAGAAGACATCTGAAGGCAGCCCTGTTCAGGGAAGGTTTTAATGTTTGATGTATTACGGTATTTTAATATTTTGTTGGAAGCCGCCCAGAGTGGCTGGGGAAGCCCAGCCAGATGGGTGGGGTATAAATAATAATAGTAATAATAATGATTTGTTATTTTCAAGCAGAGGCACCCTGCCTCCTAGACCCTCACATTTTTGCCACAGATATGCTGGCATTAGAATCCTTGATGGTTTTCCTTGCCTCTCTAGGGCTCGCTTCTACGAGGGTCCTGAGCTGGTGGCCGACACAGGCGTCGTCCTGGACACCACGATGAGAGGCGGGCGCCTGGGGGTCTTCTGTTTCTCCCAGGAGAACATCATCTGGTCCAACCTGCGGTATCGCTGCAACGGTGAGCAGGCCCCACTCCCTCCCGCCCAGCCCCACACATCCTCTCTCCCCACCCCTGGGTGCAGCCTTCAACGCCATGCCAATTTTAATGCCAAGGGGTGGAGCTAAAAAAAGATTTAGTGACTGGGTTTCACACACAAGCAAAAAGAAAGCGAGTTTCAGTTGCTTTTGCAGACTCCGGCAAGTTGTGGGTCTTTGGGTCATATTTCCTTTGGGACTCACCTGTTGGAGGCAGTGATGCTTCTGGAAACCCCAGGAGGGGAGAGGGATCTCGCACTCAGGTCCTGCTTGGGGGCTCCCCGTGGGGGTATCTGGATGCTGGGCCCTTGGCCTGATCCAGAAGCCAGGTTCCTTATGTTCTTGTGGAACCTCCAGGTCCAGAGGCAGTCTACCTGGATTCCTAATTTCTTATGGATATTTAGCCGCTGTAGGAACAGAGTGTTGGCCAGGGATGGGTGTACCAAAGCACTTTGCTCCCACAGACCCCTCATCAGGTCTCTCTTTTACTGGGCGGGACTCTGCAACTCCCTGGGTTGCAGGGGTTGGACTGGATGACCCTCAGGACCCCTTCCAACTCTACCATTCTAAGATAAGCTTGCCATAATTTTTCCCAATTAATCTGGGGACACTTTAATTAATTACTACACGTTTGGGACGTTGATGATGCAGCGATGGCAGTGGCAGAGGGGCGGCCGCTGCCTTGACTTCAACCGCCACGTTTCCCCTTCCTCCGAGGCTTCTATCTCCTTTCTCCATGAGCCTGGGCAGCCCCTGAGGTGTTGGTTCTTCGGTGGTGGTGGGGAAGCAATGCGTGGTGGGTCAGGCATGGAAGGCGGAGAAGGAGGGCCGAGAGCAGCAGTGGTGACGAGGCTTGGGCAGTGCGATGCCTCCCTTCCCATCGGAGCTCCCAACTCCTACTTGCGTGCAAGCAGGAGGGGGCGGGGATCCCCCAGCTGGGAAGGGAGGCTTCCCGTTCCCTAACTGAGAGATCCCTGCTCCACTCCTGCTTGCACACAAGTAGGAGTTGGGAGGCTGCTCCGATAGGCAGCACGAAGCCTCCCTTCACAGCTGAGTTGCTGGGGTCAGGGAAGGTGGAAGCTGCGTCTTAGAGCCCCTGCACCACCATCAGATAGGGACTTCCCAGCAGCTCCTGAAGCCAGCCAGAGCCAACTGCTCCGGGCTGCTGAGACTGCCGCTGCCGCGTTTCCCGGGGACATTAGATGAAATCCGGGGACATTCCGGGGATGGAATTTGTCCGGGGACTTATTCGCAAATCCGGGAAACGGGGACGTCTGGTAACCCCATTCTAAGATCCCTGCCTCCTGTTCTCTCATTCACAGACACGATCCCAGAGGACTACGAATCTTACCGAAACCAGCAAGACTACTAAGCGCCTTTTGGGGTTGGCCCGAGACTCACATACTCACCCCTCTGCTTCCTGCTCTTTTTACGATATATCAGATTATGGACAGTCCTGCAACACCTTGCAGCAGCCGCCCAGCCGCCCTCTGGCATCGCTGCGCTCCCTTTCCCTAGTAACCGGAAGCCCCCTTGGAATCCCTCACTGGCCACGAACCTGCCGAATGTTCTGCACCATGCAGAAGAGCAGCAGCTAATCCAGCTGTTCCAGCGGAGGCGCTTGAGAACATGGAGATGAGAGGCTGGCCAGGAGAAGCTCTCCAAGCACTCCAAAGCACTCGCCAGCAGAGGGAGGCTGCTTCCTTCTGCTCCAGCCCTAGGTAGGGGGTTTGGGTCTGATGTCAAGGAAGTGGGGCTGACCGTTGCACCCCTGCATGAATCACTGTCCAGGCACAGATCAGCGATTCATGCAAAAACGGGGTGATGCGGTGCGACGTCCCTCTTGAGAAATGGTCGTAGTCTTGCAAGTAACCAATTTTGAGAAATGTAAATTAAATTGGACAGGGAGGGAAATGTGTGCCGAGCTAATCCAATCTGGCCTGCTCTGGCATCCTGCAAGAGAGGTGCCCCTGAGGTTCAATCCTCAGCCCCTCGAGGCTCAGGTGGCAAGAAGCCTGGTGGGGGGCTGCCAGTCTGAGCAGGTGACCCTGGGTAAACGTGGCGCATGGCTTCCTCCCAAACCCAGTTACATGCTCATTCCTCGGCCCTGAATCCTTGGCGCATTAAAGGCAGGTAATGAAATGCGCACCTTCTCGGAAGCAATAAGAAGAAACGCAGAGAAAGCACTTTTTAAAAAATATGTATGTATAGAGAATTTGGAGAATTAAATTACTTTGTCTTAAGGACAAGAAGGTTGTGTTTTGTTTTTTGACGCTGCCCGCAGGGCAGGCTCTCTGAAAGCCAGGAAAGATCCCAAAAAGCAAAACTGCCGTCTGGCTAGGGAAGAGGAAGGCATTTTGCAAAAAAACCACCCCTTTTTAACCCATTGCAAAGCAGCTTTGCAATTAACAACAATTATTCAGAAAAGCAGAGCTGAGCAGCCAGAGAGAAAAACAGCTGAACTTTATTACATTTCATTTACAAATAATGCAAAGTTACAAAGACAAAAAAAGCCTTCACAGAGAAAAGAAAGAAAAAAAGGAAACGATCGAACCAAAAAAAGAGAGATCAAAAAGAATGTACACAGAGTTTTGCCGCTTTTTCACATCATTGTCATGTTCTTAAGTTTGCAAAAAGAAGAAAAAAACACACACGCTTACAAAGCCACCTTCAGGGTTCCTTTTTTTTTTTTGCCAAGAAAAAAGCCACAATAAATTAAGCTTCTATGCTCCAGAGTTCCTGTGCTGCTGCTGCTGCCCCCAGGTACCCCCCCTCCCCACCCCCCAAGAAAACCTGTAACTCAATGGTAGGATTTGCATATATCAGTAAAGTCATTCCACTAGTCCTCATGTTTTTGTTTTTAAAAAAAAAACTATAAAGAACAGGATGTTACACGGTCCAAAAATACAGAAAACGAAAGACTGCTCCCATCCCACCCTTTTAATCCGCCTCCCCCACCACCCCAAAATATGATTTTTGTGTTACTGTTTTTTAGCTGCCTGTCTGTAAGGGAAACTGCCAAACACAGCTGAATCTACCTTATTCAGAGAAAACCCACATTCCCCCTGGTGTTCTTTTACACTTTCAGGTGCCCCAAAAGAAATGGGGGGGTGGGAGGAGAGAAAAAATTAATTTCCTCCCTGTCCCCAAAAGAAAGCCATGTATTGAAAAGCTACCACCCGACTAACAGCTAGAACTAAGCACATTTTGTTTACTTGCTAAGTTGCGTTAATGTTCTGGATGTCTCTAGCAATATGGTTATTATAATATGGATAATTACGTTTAATGTGCAACTGCTCATGCCCATATAGAGTTAGGAACTATTTAGGATCGAAGGGGGAAATAACGTTTAGGCATGGTCTTATCCCCCCCCCCAAAAAAGAAAGTGATGTTAGGGTTGCAGCCCAATTAAGTTCTGCTCAGAGTAGATCCACCAGACCAGTTTGGCCACATCCATCTGTTTCAATAGGACTACTCAGAGTATGGCCGACCGCGGACGCAACCTGCAAAAGCTTGCGGAATTAATCCTGGTGTTTCTGTTGCGTATGGCAGGGCAGCCAAAGAGATGCGGTTGCATTTGCAAGCCGTGCCTTAGCTAAGTGTTCTCCAAATCAATGATCTTGAGTAAGGATTAAGCCGTTCCGTCTCCTGGCACAGAGAATTTTGAGCGGCTTCTGCAAAAGGGCTGATTTCTATGCAATGGTCGGTTAGGGTTTCCCGAAGTGAAACACAGGTGCCGCCTCAAGAGGATTGTGAATTTCCCCACTCCAAGGATAATGGCTTTTAGTAGGGATTCCTGATACCGTCATTTCTCTTTTAAAAAACAACAACCATGCAGCTAGTCCCTGTGATCTTTCTAAAAACTATCAGCTGCAAATGAAGGCTTATGAAACTAACAGAACTGTAATCTAGAATTGACAGGTATCCCGAGAACTGGGGGGGGGGGGGGGTTTGCATCTAAAACAGCACCAGGACCCCCCCCCAAAAAAAACCACTTAATCCTCCCACCCAATTTGGCAAAAACAAACAAACCCTAAAACCCTCCCTCCTTTTATTTCAGCAAGTCGTGTTTATTTGCACTGAATTCAATTTAATCCTACTTGCTGTTCATGGGATTTTTAAAGCGGGGGGGCATGCCAAACTTCACATCCCTGCCCCCAATCACACCCACTTGCAAAGGGGTGGAGGGGGTTATGGGGAGAAGTATTTTGACCCATTCATTTTTGGGAAGGGGGGGGGTCAGGGAGAGCATTAGGCCTCTGCTGATCTGCCCAGTTAAGTTTCAAAGCTCTGCTGGTGCTTTTTTTCAGAGAAGCTTCTACTGCGCACCCAGCCCCAGCCTCCAAAAACCTGCCTGCCCACCCCCGTCCAGCATTTAGGGGGGGCGCTAGGTTGGCGAAGGCTGGGCCAGGAGAAGACACGTCCGGCTCAGGTCAGCCGTGCCATACAGTAACAGAACACCGTTTGGATGTGGCGGCAATTGATAATAATGGCGATATTCATTTTATTATTTGAACCCTGCCCATCTGACTGGGTTGCCCCAGCTTCCCAAACATATATAAGTTGCGTCTGGGGGGGCTGAAAGAGAAGGCATCTCAGAGCCCATCTCCCACCCACCCCTGTCCCAAAGGTGGGCTTTTCCACCGTTTTTGGACACACCTGAAAACTGGGGCTGGGTGGGGAGGAGGAGAACGATTAACGCTGGGAATTTTGTCATTGTTATCGATATACCGAGAAGGCTTTGGGGTGGAGGGGGGGGGAGTAGGAGAGGAGAGAAGGGAACCAGGCAAAAAGCAAAAAAAGGCAATGAATTCTCAACCACGGGCGTGAGATCGTCCAATTTGCAGGTGGAGAACGGGGACATTGAGCCAAGACAGCCTTTGCTTCAATACACATGCTAAGATACCAACAGCTATTATACATTTTTTTTGCTTTCGGTTCTTATGTAAAAGGGGGGATGAAAACCAAAACCCAACACCCCAAAGGCAGAAAATACCAAGCTGTTGCTGCTGCTGCGGCCGCCTCAAAGCATCTCCCCCCCCCTCAGACTGCGTTCCCCTCCCCAAAAAAGCCACGCCTTTCCTTTATAAACACAGTAGAAACTGGCCAAGCTCACATTTATTTATATATACTTTTTTAAAATATATATATATATATATATTTATATACACACACATGCACCGTGCCCTCCTCCCCCTCCCCTGAAGGAAGTTGTTCCCCCCCTTTTAAAAAAAATTAAAAAACAACAATAATAAATACAACGAAAAGCACAAAGATTATCGACCGAAGTTCCATAAACGTAGTGTGTTGGTTATTTAAACCCTCCGCACCCAACCCCAATTCACATATTGCAATATGGGAATTCCGCACAAGTTTTCTTTTAGAAATAAAAGGAAGGTTAAACCGGTTCATTAAAAAAGAAAAGTTACAACACAAAAACACTTAACTTTTTGTTTGGGTTCCCCCTTTTTTCCCCTAAAAAGAAGAAGAATGCATACTCAGATATTCAACTGCTCTTTCACAGGTGTTTTCACAGTGACAAGGGAATTTTTTTAATTTAAAAAAATAAATCAAAGTGCCTTCTTTCTTTTTTCAAAAGCCATGGGTGTAGTATGTAGGTAATCCTCTTCCGGAGAGGAATTCTACCTAAGAAAAAAAGGGTGGGGGGGGAGATGGCTGCCTTGAAAGGATGGAGGCAGGAAAAGGAGGATGGAAATTGGGGGGGGGGGGCAGAGAAAGAAGCAGCTTTCCTTTTTCTTTTCTATTTAAAAAAGGGACAGTTCGGTCTCTTGCTGCTGCCTGTCAGAGCTAGATTTCCAAGGAGCCCCCAGCAAGACTCCTGCAAACATGCAGAAAAGCCACAGCGATAACAGGATTCAGTTTTCCCTGGACATGCAATGGGCAGGGGCCGCCCCCCAAATTTGGCCTTTTTTGGCAGGGATGGGGGGGGATGTCTTATCCTACCTGCCCCCAATTTGTGCATAGCTGGGTCTGACCACCTCCAAGCCCAGCATCCTGTATCCGAGGACATCCGGACAATTAGACCCCTGCTTGCTGGGGGTCTGGTTGGCCGCTGTGGGAAGAGGGGGCTGGGCCTGACCCAGTTGCTGGATCTGTACCCCGCTCCCTGCGCCACTTTAAGTCTTCCATCTCAGTTTGCATACACATGCGTGCACACACACCAATATATATGTATTTATAGTCATTCACTCTGGCTCAGGATACTTCCCCTGTTTTTGCAAGACATTTTTCGAAGCTGACGGAAAGCATTGTGGATTTAAAACACCAGCGCCTGGCCTCTCTTCCGACAGCCTGCCATCCCCACAATCGCTTCTGATACCCACCCTGGCCTCTCGACACCCAAAACCGGGACCAGGTCCATCGGGCTGTGGGGGTTACAGGAGGAGAGGAGGAGGGGGCAGCAGAACTCTGCATATGCTCAGGAACGCTTCTCCACACGGCTTGCAAGGATGGAAATGGAGCAGGGCCCTGACAATGAGGATGACAGTAATCAATGTCATTTAATTCATTTGGCACTTGATGCCAAGGGGGGCTTTTGGGGGCCAACGTCCATTTTCAAAGACCAACAATGGCAGCTGTTGGGTGGGGATTTAAGGAATGTGATGTGGCATTTTTCCAGAACAGAGCCTTGTTTATTACAAAGATACTCGAAATCTGCAGAATTGGACTAATTGCCCCATACCCCCCAATCAGCTCTAGCAAGGCTCTAACATGCCTTGCTAATATTTTGGGCTGGCAGCAAAGCTCCTGCTAGGAATCACAGACTTGTAGAGCTGGAAGGGACCCCAAGGGGTCATCTAGCCCACCCCCCTGCAATGCAGGAACCTTTCGCCCAACATGGGTCTCGAACCCACAACCCTGAGATTCAGAGTCTCATGCTCTTACCAACTGAGCTATGGAAGCCTGTACTGCCTGGCAGCCAGTAGCCTCTGTGGGTGCACCCAAGCACCTCCTGGCTCCTGGGATGAGAAGGCGCAGTACCCCTCATGGCCTGCTCCAGTGGAGGTGCTGTGGAGCAAGAGGAGCCTGATGGAAACTGGAGGGACGTCGACTTCTGCGCTCCGTTCCTCACTGGGAACTTTTTCTTGCCAAATTGTAAGGAGAAAGGGCACTGCTTATGTAAGTTCAGGGGCTCAGACCGCACTGCAGGGGTGAAACTGGTCTCGTTTACACAGTATTATTAGCTGGCGCGCACGCACACACACACACAGAGCAACACTGGACCAGGCTGGTGTCAGATTAAGGCCCACAGAGACCCTGGATAAAATGACCACTCAGCAGAGGCACTCCCTGGGCCAGCTGCCATCTCTTTGCCTAACCTACCTCACAGTGTTGTTGGGAAGGTAAAGGGGGGGGGGAGGAGAGTACAGAAAGAACGGCTTAAGACAAATGCACCACTGTGCCCATTCAGACACAAGCCAGGCACCTAACCAAAAGAGAGCTGCTCTTTTAAACCTGACCCGAACTGAGCAACGAACAACACTCCCGCTTTTGAACCAAGCAGGACTTCCTCTCTGCTCAACGACGGCAACAAAGCATTCTCCCCTGGAACAGAATCATGGTGGGTAGAATCCCCCAAAAGGATATGGGGAGCTTACAGCCCCGCCCCCTTCAAAATAAGCAATTTTAAGCAAGCTTCGGATGCAGACAGAGCATGGATCTCAAAACCTCCAGGGGCCTGGCCTTAAACACAGAATTGAGAAAGAAGCAGAATATAAGGTGCATTAACGGAGGAAGTAATTTGCCGCTGTGCTAAAGTCGTCGCTTGGCTACTCAACATGATAAATTAAGAATGACGCTGCCCCCTGCTGGGAAGAGAGATATCGAGCACATCGAAATATCTCGCGCTACGATCCTGCCATCTTTAACAACCGTTTCCAGCAACAGCAACAAATGAAACACAAACCAGAAATTTTAACAGTGCAAATGGTCCCTAATCCTCAGTGACCCTCCAACAAATCCAGAAAGGTTTTTTTTGTGTGTTTGTGTTTCACGTGTGTATACAGATATATATAGATATATATATATTAAGGCCATTTTTGTAAAACTACTTACAGTTTATCCGCACGCAGGCTCTCCTATGTACATGTGTAATTTAGAAAAGGGGAGGAGGAGAGATTTTTACATCTCCCTATAAAACTGTCCGGTTCGAGAGCTGCGTGTGTTTACCAGACCAGGAAACGAGTCTTCCAATTCCACATCCCCAAACGGCAGGCCAAGACTGAAGAGGACTGTGCACATGTTGAGATCTGAGGGAAGGGCATCCCAGAGAGTCGGACCAATGAATTCTGACAGGATCGCTGGAGGCCAAAGGACGAGGTCCCTGCACTCACTGTTCGGAGCAGGAGAGTGACCACCTCCTGTTGTTGTTTTTTTAGCAGACGGGATTCCTCCTCGTGCGGGAGAGGGACCCAGAGCAGGCTTGAAATGGGCAGACCATGGCGAGTACTAGAGGCTAAAATACTGATACGGGTTATAAAACAATGGGAGAGGCCACTTCTTGGGAGTCGAAAGGGCTGGGGGGGGAAAGCACTGCATCGAAGCGCCCACACAGAACGCCTAGGAGACAGCACAGTTTTAGTGCAAAAGTCGTAAAACAAAGGATGGCACAGGCGGAGTGTAAGCAGACATGTACTCGGAACGGGACTTCCTAGCGGCACATGCAGGGGCCCAGGGCCCAGCTGTAACTCGCCGGGGGGAGGCATTCGGGGAAGGCTATGGCAGGACTCAAACCCAGAACCTGAGGGACAACAAGGCAGGGACTCAAGCTGAACGCTGCCCGGCCAACTCAGAGCAGAAGAGGGGACGGCGGGGAGGTGAGCTCTGCTGCGCCAGCCAGGAAGGCCCAGATGACTTAAGATATCGCCCAGCCAGGCCAAGGGAGCCACAGGAGGCTACCAGATTAGCATTTTCGGCAAATGGGAGGTTCACTTCCTCCCAAGCAGCCCAGAAAACCAGGGACCTGACCTGGAGAATGGGATGCCGTAAAAGAAAAGTGTTTGGGGGGTGGGGAGCAGGGGGACCCTGCCTGAAGCATTCAGACTCACAAACATGCCTGCGATAGGATTTCTGAGCTCCAGACATGGGTTTCAGAGACCCACCAACACCCCAGGGGCACTTGGCACGAGATTCTGCCAACGGAAAGTGACAAACGCATTGGAGTCAGTCCAAAAAGCTGCCCCACGCCAAAGAGCGCCTTCCCCTCGAGGCGCCGAAGGAGAGAACATCTCTGTCCACTTTGCAAGCAGGAGACGTGTGTGTACATCTTGGGGTCCCCTTAAACGATTCCCCACTGAACCCCTCTGATTCTGCCACCCTCAGCAACCATTTGGGGGCTCAGTCTGGCTCTGCGCCCCTCCAAGGCTGACCGGATTTTCCTCGCTATTCCCTGCTAAGAAATAACAAATCATGCACGTGAGATATTTTCCTTTAATACTGGGCGGGAACTGCCTTTGCCATGCAAAAAGGGGAGGGGAGAGAGACTTGCACGCTGGACAGCAATAATCCCGCAAGCGTTCAACCAAGAGGAAACCGTAGCTCCTTCCTTTAGGTAACGGAAGTATGCGACATAAATAAAATTGCCCCTCCTCTTCCTCTACCTGTCCCCCACCCCCTGCCAAAAAAGTCCTTTGAATCGGAAAGAGGAGTTAGGCGGCTCGTGCAACTAAATCCCCGGACGGTGTTGCCCCCCAAAAAGAGATGTTTCTGCAACTGTTGAGCAAGGAGGCAAACGGGGGAACAGGCAGCAATAGAGTTTTGGATGAGAGTCAAGGCTAGCGAAAAGGGGGGGGGCAGGAGATCACTAACCATTTACACCCCTCCCCATCCTTCAAAGCCAAGCATCTGCCTCAGGAAATTATTCTGGAGGGCTCACTGGACTCTCCCCACCACCTCCTATACTGAAACCCCACCCACCCCATTTCCCAGAAGGAAAGCAGCAATATCCACAACGTAGCTTTTGAACTCAGGGGTGGTGGGGCTTCACGTGTCTGTCGGGCAACCCCCAGCACACCCCCCCAGCTCCCGGCTTCATGCAGAAGTGCCTGTTTCTGTAACCGAAACCGGAGACTCGGTAGTTTTGACAGAGGTGGGGGGGGGGGAGGGATAAGAACTATCTATTTACCTTTTCAGAGCGCTTTGCCCAGCCACCGGGGCGGGGGGGGGGGAGAGGAAGAGAGGGAGCAGCCTCCTCTACTGCCACCCCACTCCCTGCCTTCCCAAAAACAAACACGGAGAAACCATTTAGTGCAAAGGAGAACAAGGACCGAACTTTGGTGGCAAGCAGAGGGCGAGAGGAACGGAAAGGGCGCAAGGGGGGCTTGTGGATAAAGAGGTCCTCTCCCAAACCAGTGGCCTCTGGAGGGCGGGAGGGGGGGAGACGGGGGGGTGGGCAGCTGTTCTGTGAGGGTGGAACGAGCCCGGCTCTCAGGTGCGACGGACCCGAGGTGGGCCGGTCCCTGCCTCTGCGGGCGCCGAGACTTGGTACACCTTTTATTTGCGATTTGGCATGCGCTCTCTCACTCTCGGCGACGCGCCCCCTCTTCCCCTCTTCCCCTCTCCCCTACAGCCGGTCCATCCGGAAAGTGTCCTCTGTGGCGGGGTCAGCGAGGACCATGTCGGGGTCGTTGAGCATGTGCAGCCCGTCCAAGGTCAGGGGGTCGATTTTGAGTTCGTCCAGGGGGAACTGGGAATCAGAGTCGAAGCTGACATCCCCCACGCCGGCCAGAGAGCTGGTCAGGTCCTTCGACAGGCTGGGAGGGGACTCCCCGGTCACTGGGAGAGGCAGGTTGGAGGGAGAGATAAAGAAAGAAAGAAAGAAAGAAAGAAAGAAAGAAAGAAAGAAAGAAAGAAAGAAAGAAAGAAAGAAAGAAAGACCTTTGGTTAGGATCAGCCTCAGCTCCTCTTCCACCTGACACACTCCTTGGGGCAAGCCAGGAGCTAACTTCAGACATTAGCAACACACGAAGCTGTTCAGACAGTCAGACCCAGGGTGGGGGACATTCCCAGCCCGACCCAAAGGTGCTGCAGGGGATTGCACCTGGGGAAAGCTGCATGTGAAGCCCTGGAGCTAAGCTGCAGCTCTTCCTAGAAAAACTATGTTCTCATGGTTTTCCAAACAAGGAAAACGTAGGAATTCGCCTTGTGCCAAGTCCGACCCTTGAGTCCATGTAGCTCAGTTCTTTCTACACCATGGGTAGGCAACCCAAAGCCCGGGGGCCAGATGCGGCCCAATCACCTTCTCAATCCGGCCCGCGGAAGGTCAGGGAATCAGCGTGTTACTACATGAGTAGAATGTGTCCTTTTATTTAAAATGCATCTCTGGGTTATTTGTAGGGCCTCCTTGGTGTTTTTACATGAGTAGAATGTGTGCTTTTATTTAAAATGCATCTCTGGGTTATTTGTGGGGCATAGGAATTTGTTCATTTTTTAAAAATATATATAGTCCGGCCCCCCACAAGGTCTGAGGGACAGTGGACTGGTCCCCTGCTGAAAAAGTTTGCTGACCCATGGTCTACACTGTCTGGCAGCAGCCAGTTGCCCAAAGAGGCCCAGAAACAATGGAGTCTGCTCTGTGAGGGCATAATGGGCACTACCGCACCAGCCTCCGTCTGCCCACCTTCTGACCTGCAACCAGTCTGCCTGCCAGCCTTCTCCTCCTGATTCTCACTGTTGCCCCTTGTAGAATCCAAGACTTAAAGGTCACCAGGCCTGTCACGAAATTCTGTTTTATGGCAACAAGGCCAGGCCACGCCATGGTGACAGTGATGGTCAGTGAACGAATAACCATTTTAAACTCTGGCTCACATACTTTAGCTGACGGAGTGTTGCTTTTAATGCATATAAGCACATGTGAAATTGTCAACTCTGCCTACTTCTTCTGCCCCTTGGTGCTGAAGCAGTTATACCTGTTTTTAGCGTTCTTTTCGCCAGCTGGTCTTTGACTGCCATAAAGACTGGTTGATCGATTGCTCCTTGTAGGAGGAAATCAGCAGGGAGGAGGAGAAAACTATCATTTGTGGGCTCCATCTCTCCATCTCTCAGTGCCACCTGCTGTTGGGCTCCCTACTTCTGCCCTACCAGCCGCTGCTGTTCAGAAATTCAGCAGCTGCAAAGGTCCAAGGGGTGGCGATGCGCAGCCAGTCCCACCCCCCAGGCGCCAAACCACGGACCCACCTGTGAGGATGATGTTGGGGATGTTCCCGTGGCTGGCGTAGCTGAGCTGCTGGGCGTCCTGGAGGCTCCCGTGGCTTCCGGTGAGGCCCATCATGGCCGCCTGGGAGTAATTGAGGGTGGAGCAGGGGCTGTAGAGGCTGTTGGAGCTGATGGCGTTCTCAATCATGTTGAACTGCTCAAGCTGGAGGAAGGAATCCTGGAGGTAAGAACTTAATAAAAGAGCCTTGCTGGGCTGGGCTGAAAAGCCGGCTGGGTTCATAACCCACCAGTCAGATGGGTGGGGGTACAAGTAATACATCATCATCATCATCATCATCATCATCATCATCATCATCATCATCCCAAGGGCATACTGCTCTGAACTGGGCTGGGCTACATGACCCGTGGGGACCCTTCCTCCAAGTCTACAATCCTACGATTCTACGTTCCACTTTGCAACCATGGCTAAAATTGTGATTTAGCATTTTGACGCCCCCAGATCTACGGACGAAGGGCGGCATACAAATTTAACAAGTATTTTATCTGGCCGCCCGATGAACCAAACTTCTCTGGGTGGTGAAGAGTCGAAACCACCAATCCCATTTGAACCTCCAGACAAGGGGTGCTTGGGAGTCACAGAAAGCGCTCTCACCTGATGAGATAAAGCGTTTGCCTGCCTGGCCGTCATCTGCTGGTCGTAACAGGAATCCCCGAAGACGCTCCCCAGGATAGATGTTTGCTGCAAGGAGGAGGAGGAGGAGGAGGAAGAGGAGGTGAATCAGTGCAGAGAAGAGCCCTTTGCTGAAATCCAGAATGGGGGCAGCAGACAGTCTGCCAAGACCGCCCTTGAGGATGCTGAATTGAAGGCTGCGTGGTGAAATCCCCACCCCACCCCACTGGCTAACTACCAACCAGCCCCAGAACGATGAATTCAAGAGCAGAGCAGAGCTCTAGAGGAGGAGATGGGACTTGGGGGGGGGGCACAGTAACCTGGTTTCCACCTTAGATGAGGGCTATGCCACTGCCACCACCATGCCAGAAACACACAGGCCGGAAAGGGGGAGAGGGGACAAAAGTGAATGGGTGGCACATGGTTTGAAGAAGCATGTCTGCCCCAGAGGGTGGGAGAGGGGTAGAAAGGCTCTGAGGGATGAGATAGTTTGCAAACTGTCCTGACCAACATGACTGCATGCCAGTGGAGCAATGGGGAGGAGAAGGGGCTGTGCTACCCAAAACAGCAGCAACTGAGATGCCCCCCCCTCCTTTGGTTAGGAAGTTTGCTTGGAACGACAACAAGATTTTTATTCCTACTACCACTGCGCTTATGACTCGTTGTATCCAACGCTCATCAGACGCTGATGAGATTCGCTTGGTTGTGGCCCAATAATATTTTTATTTGTACTCCTACTCCTACGGCTGTTATTACTATTTCCAGCCAACGCTAGTCATGCACAGATTAGATCAGCTTGGCAAAGCCTGATTGAGAAGCTCCCGAATGCTACAATTCCCCAAACTGCTTCAAAATGAAGGAGGCAAAGCAAAGCAAATCTTTCAAGTTCCCTTTACCCTGCCTTCTAGAGACCTTCTCACAAGGTCTCTTATAATGTAGGAAAGACCTAAAGAGGGTTTTTTGCAAAAAAAATTAAAAAAAAAATCCAACCAGGTTGATTCTGCAAGCCTGGTCCTGCGCTTAAAAAACAGCCGAGACGGGCAGCAGCAAGCGAGCCTCCTCCCCCATTATCGACCTAAATTCAGGAATCCCTCTGCCCTAACCTTTCTCTGCTGGGCTATTATAATCCGACCACCTCCTCCCCACCAGCGGGTCTTTGAGAAACCACTCTCATTTTACAACTGTGCAGCAGTGCAAAGTGATACAGATGCATTTTTTTAATAAAAAAATTGCTCCCCTTGAGGATCCTTAACTGCACTGTTTTTAATAACTTTGCCAGCAGAGACCAGGGAGGTGGGGGTGGGGGTGGGGGTGGAGACGTGATTAAACGGGAAGGGCTTTTTTTCATCGCTTCAGCACTTTGGGATCCAAGACCTGGCCTCTTCCGCTGGCTGCGGAAGCCAAAGGCTCTCTCTGCAGAACTGAAGAGGGAGAGGGGCTTGCTAGCTTTCGTTAACTGAATGGCTGAGCGCTGCGGCAAGGAAGGCCAGGAATTCCCCTCAATGCCCACGAGGTCCAGCTCCTTGTGTGAGGGAGAAAAATGTTTTCTCCAGCCACTTTCTCGTTTTGTATAGGCTTCTATCCCATCGCCTGTTCCTCGTCTTTTCTCAAAACTGGAAAAAAAGACAAATGCACACTAGAACCTTTCCTCATAAGGTTGGCTCACAGCTTTGCTCTTCCTGCATGAACCTGTCGCCTGCAAACTGTGCTCCGAGTCTTCTCAGCCTTCTGAATCAAGGAAGGCGGAGAGAGGGGGACCAGGCCACATGGCCTGGCACCCTCCATTCTGCAGATGCCCCCTAAACCTGGCAGGAAGGAAATGGTAGCAGCCACCTGTCGCCACCACCTGGTGTTTGGTGGCAGCGAACAAGGGTTCCATTTTGCTATGATGGCCGACAGCCACTGGTGCTCTCTCCACCACACCAGCAGCAGGCGGCATTCAGAGGTAGAGTGTGCCTGAGCAGGGAGGCCCCACATAGCTAATGTGGCTAGGTGCCTGTGCTCAGTCTACTCCTCCCCTCTGTAACAACCAAGGGCTGTAGCCAGCGTTCAGTCGTCCTCAGAGCAGACCTGGGGAAATCAAATGAGTATGACTCGCTTGGGTATACTGATTTCAGTAGGTCGTGCTCAGAGGAAAACTTGCTTGGACACGACCCCCAATTTATTTACAAGGCTATCGAATCAAGTGGCCAGACCTGTACATTAAATTTAATGTAGGGATGGGGGAAAGGCAGTGGCCCTCCAAGGCGCTGCTGGACCTCAACTCCCACCTCCCCTTGCTGTTGCCTATACAGGCAAGGGATGATGGGAACTGTAGTCCAGGAACTTCTGGAGGGTGGAAGCTTGGCCTTCCCTGATTTTCTCCACACAGAAGTTGCACTGATGGCTTCAGGTTACAAGAAAGGAGGTTTGGACTCAACATCAGGAAGAACTTTGGTTTGAGCTTTGGTTGAGATTCCTGCCTTGTGGGGGTTGGACTAGATCAGTGTTCCCCAACCTTGGGCCTCCAGCTGTTTTTGGACTACAATTCCCATCATCCTTGACCACTGGTCTTGCTAGCGAGGGATGATGGGAGTTGTAGTCCAAAAACAGCTGGAGGCCCAAGGTTGGGGAACACTGGACTAGATGACCCTCAGGGTCCCTTCCAACTCTACAATGGAGGGCGTGAAAGGTTGGCCACCCCTGGTTTTCCCACCAAGCAGCAGCAGCAGCAGCACCCAAGACCGCCTGAGGTCTCCCGCTCTGCTCTGCTTCACCCTTTTAAAACCCTTTCTAACTGCTGCTGATTGTTTCAACTGCTCCCACGTTGTGGGATGAGAGCTGGGAGCGAGCGGTGCTTTGCTTTCCCTGAATACGAAAGCACTAAAAGGTTTCATGTGCTCTGGCTGCCGTCAGCTGTGTGGGCAATTAACATGACGCCTACGGCGGGTCTTTGCTGTGCGCTGACTTAGCCGACTCGTTCCGGCGGTGTTAGCAGGCCTCCAAACCCACTATTTGCCATTTGGGTCTGGTTATCTTCCAAGGTACCACGGGACAACAAAGTCTTTATGCGAACACTTAAGTCTCACAATTTGATTCTTCTTTTGGTCTTTCAATTCAATTTTTAACTAACCCTCTTCTTCCTATGGACTCACTTTTGGAACTCGGACTGTGTGTGATGGATTAAGAGCTCTGTGTTAAGGGCTGGATATTTTTTCCCCTCTTCTTGTTACTTGGCCTGTTTTAAACCTAGCAAACATGCTTATTTGGTGTGTGTGTGTGTGTGTGTGTGTGTGTGTTTTCTTTTAAAGAACCTGTGCTCTCCAGCCCAGCCACCACATCTGTATACATGTCTACTCAAAAGTAGGTCTCTGTGTGTTTAATGTAGGACAAAGCGCAGGAAATTCATGGCACTAATAATATTAATAGTTATTATACAATATCGCTTCCAGTGACCACTGAGAAGCCGAATAAGATTCGTACTTAGTGCAGAAAACAGTGATGGACGATACTGAAGAAAACCAGAAGCTGCACCTTGTACTCTGAAGTGTGTTGTTTACAACTTAACAGCAGAAAGTTGCCACCTTTCAACTCATGTCATCTCAAACCCACTTATATAAATCAGTGTGTGCTTTAAGGGGGGGAAACCTCCTGAATTATCAAAACAGTCTGCACATTTAGAAAAACCTGTGTGATAGCTGAAGCAGTATGAATCCACCAGCTTTGTACAGGTTCAGTGCAAACCCTGTTTTTACGCCTTATTGAAAAACAGGCAAGCACTCATCTAGACATAGTTGGAAGTGAGGGGGGTATTGTTTTTGTCTGTTACTATGTAAACCACCCTGGGACCCTCAGACGAAGGGTGGTATAGAAATTCAATAAATAAAGATATATATTTAAAAATTGGACAATGTGACATTAAGAGGGATTGGGGAGAGAGAGAAAGTAAGACGGACCCATTGAGAAGCATGGAAGCGAAAGGCCTGGAGAGAGAGAGAGAGAGAGAGAGAGAGAGAGAGAGAGAGAGAGCACACACACAGATGCAGTCAGTCCCTTACTTGAGGGGAGCTGCCAGGAGAGAAAGCTTGATTGGAGACAGGAGAGGTGGGAGACTGGTTGGCCGGGGAGCCAGCATTGTTGCGGTACTGCTGGAGTGAACCCTACAGAAGGACATAGAGTTAGAGACAGAGAGAGAGAATAGGGTAGGGGGAAGGAGAAAAGGCAGATGAAATCACAGGGTTCTTTCGTGGAGAGAAAGAGAGAGAGAGATGGGAGGGAAGAAAAGCCCTTGTATGAACACCCAGGGAGTCAGCTAGTACCGGTTAAACAATGCCCCGAGAGATCATGGACAGAAAAAAGTGGGGGGGGTACAATCATTTCTGGACTTCCTCCCCGGCTTCCTGGAGAGCAAGGTGCAGCCAGGAACCATACGCTGTATTCCAAATGCCTCTGCTCCTTAGAATGACAGGAAAGGCATTGAGGAGACACAGCTGGTTTTTAAACATCCCTTTCCTAGTCAGGCTTCCCCCAAAGCTCCTGGAGGGAAAGGACCCGCATGGACGTAAGAAGAGCGCTGCCACTGAGTCAGGCCAAAAGGCCATCTAGCTTAGCCTCCTGTCCTCACCAGACTGTGTCGGGTGGGGAGAGTTGCCATTCTGCTCAGGTCATGCTTGCTGGTTTCCCATGGGGGCATCTGGGTGGCCACTGAGAGTACAGGAAGCTGGGCTAGGTGGGCCCCCTTTGGCCTGATCCCGCAAGCCGGACCTGGGCACAAGGACACTTTCCCCTCCTGTAGTTTCTCCCAGCCACAGGTACTTCTTTGCATTTACATTGGAATAAATGTGCATACATTTATCTATGCAGGGCTTAATTTCAGTGCCCCCCCATCTACTAATGAACAAAAGAGTAGCCTGTTGCATCAGGCCATTGGCCTGATCCTCAAACAGGGTCTGAGCCCCAGGTCTCCCCTCCTGCGGTTTCCAGCAATGGGGATTCAGCAGGATGGCTGCCTCCGACTATGAAGGGGGAACCCTGCCAGCACGGCTAGTAGCCATCAGTAAGTCCTCTCCTCCACCTTAAGAGGTGTGGCTGGCACACTGCTTTTGCGCCTGGCTCAGCCCACTCCGGAGACCACAGCCCCGTCTTTCGCTTTCTCACACCTGCATCTAGAATTGGGGACATCTGCGCTCAGGAAACTCTCCACTCCTGTCTTGCAGCAAGGTGCTTCTCCCCTGCCTGCCCCTGACTTGTCCAGGGGAGGTAATAATAGTAATAGTAATAGTAATAGTAATAGTAATAGTAATAGTAATAGTAATAGTAATAGTAATAGTAATAATAATACAGTGGTGCCTCGCAAGACGGAAAACCCGCTAGACGAAAGGGTTTTCCGTTTCTGAGTTGCTTCGCAAGACGATTTTCCCTATGGGCTTGCTTCGCAAGACGGAAACGTCTTGCTAGTCTTCCGATTTTTTTCACTCCCCCCCCCTTTTTCTAAGCCGCTAAGCCGCTAATAGCCTTTTAGCAGCTTAGCCGCTAATCCTTTAATAGGATTAAATAAGCCGCTAATAGCGCTTTAATAGGATTTAATAAGCCGCTAATAGCGCTAATCCGCTTAGCCGCTAATAGGGTTGCTTCGCAAGACGAAAAAACCGCTAGACAAAGAGAATCGCGGAACGGATTATTTTCGTCTTGCGAGGCACCACTGTAATAACAATGATGTTGCTGGGCGTGGATGCATGCACTGAAATCCCAGGAGAAAAAGGACAGGGCGTGTGTGCAATCTCGGACTTCCTGGGAACCTCAGTGTCAAACGTTAAACACACAGACCTCGTTGGTGCAAAGGGTTGCTTGGAACTGTGTGTGAACCTAAGAAGAGCCCGCCAGATCAGGACAGTGACCCATCTAGTCCAGCGTCCTGTTCTCACAGTGGCCAACCAGATGCCCCCAAGCAAAACCTGCAAACAGGGTCCGAGCAACTCTCTCCTCCTGTGGATTAGAGCCCCAGGCCTGAGGGTCGGGGCTGGGGAGGACCCCTAGCCAATTCAGAAGCAGGGTGTCAAGAAGTTGGCATCGTTTAGAAAGGCTGCAGAATTTTCTGGTCCCCTGCCTTTAAAGAAGAAAGAAAAGCCACACATACACAAGCTCTGCTTCGTAACACTAAAAAGAGCGAACGCTTCCGCCAACCGCTCCAACGCGTGAAGAGGAGTTTGGAGAAGACAGAAAGGGGGCAGAAGGGGAAGGCTGCAAGCTCAAACATTAGCAAAGCCTTGCTCCTGTGGGGGCTCAGTGGGAAGCTCAGGTGAGGCAGGTGAGACACCTCCATCCACTGAGGACCCGGAGGCTCGAAGCCGGGAACTAAACCCAGCCTTTGTCATTCACTGCGCAGCGACTCCCAAAACCACCCCACCCTCCCAGCTAGCACAACTGTAGGATGCCAGATCAGTGAGAGGGCCTGGTGTTGGCAGAGGCTGAGGTGGGAGGCTCCCCAGGAGAAGCTGCCTTTGATCAAGCCAAAAGCCTGGGGTAGAGGGCATGACAGTTTCCTGTACATCCTGATAATCCACTCAGGCTGATGTCCCAAGAAGCCAGCATGCCCATTTCCTTTTGCCAAGACAAGAAAATATACGGGCGCTGGCAGCTCTCAGGGGCTCCCCGAAAGTCAACCTGAGCAGAACGACAGAGCGCACGGCCGGACTTGGGAGGCAGGCCTGTCCTCTGCCTTGAAGCTGTTACCTAAAAGCCTGCTTAAGAATGCTCAACACAGACCCCTTGAAATTGCAGTCCTTTCTCCTAACACGCACCCTTTGGAGAAATCTCTGTAGCAACTCATTTCCCAGAGGCCCCCGGGAGCAGTGACTGACAAAATGGGCTTGGAAGCCATCTGCTTTGTCTACAGAGCAGCAGTTCAAGTTCTAAAGAGGTCAGGCACCTGCGAAGTAGAAGGCAGACCAACACTTCTGCAAAGGTGGTTGTGCACCAACTTCTCGCTGCCCTATTCCTGCATGACCCAGGAGATCTTGCAAGTCCTCCGCGTGCGCACCCACCCAGCCCTAGACCCACACCCCACAGGGCTCCCTACCTTGCCCGCCCAGCCCTTCCCCAGTCCAGCTTACCGAACTGATGTCTATCCCCATGGAGGTCTGGGTCTGGCTTCCCGGCGGAGACTGTGGGATTGTGGAAGGGACGGTGACGGAGAGCGGGGGCAGCTGCACCCCTCGCTGCAGGCCGGACGTCTGCATCAGGGAGGCATTGGGCGGGAGAGCGCTGGCGACCTGGGTCTGCTGTTGCTGCTGCTGCTGGGCGCTCGTCTGGGTAAAGAAGGGGTAGGGCGGGAGCTGCTGCTCCAGGGAGAGGGCGTCCATTGCCACGGCCTGGGGAGGGGGACAGGGCAGGAGAGGGCAGTGAGGAACAGCCTCCCCTGGGTCACAGGACAGGCAGGGAGGCCAGGGCGCTCTCCTTCAGATGACCCAGTCCGAGAGCAGGGGTCCCTACTAGTGGTCTGTGGAAACAGCCAGCACCTGGCAGAAATAAGTGATGCTCAAGCGTATGTGTGCTTGTGTGTTTAAAATGTTCCAAAGTGCCCAGAGGTCTCTTAATAAACTTTGAGAGTCTTAATCTCAGGGTCGTGGGCTGGAACCCCACGTTGGGCAAAAGATTCCTGCATTGCAGGGGGTTGGTCTAGATGACTCTTGGGGTTCCTTCCCAATCTACAATTCAACGATTCCAAGGCTAGGATATAAAGAGCTGGGATATGAGACAAGCCAATGGTGGTGCACTGGTTGGAGTGTTGGACTGGGACCTGGGAGACCAGGGTTCAAATCCCCACTCGGCCACAATGTTCGCTGGCACCAGTGACTCAGAACAACATCAGATCTTTTCTGCCACCCCTCTTCAGCGCCAGCCTTTCTGTCAAAACTAGCACTGGATTATGGAAACCCCAGACCCAAGCCACGTCCGCCTACCGCACAGCATGCTCCCAATAAAAGCGACCCCCATCGCATCCCTTGCGTACCTGAGTGATTGGCGACAGAGGCGAGAGCGTGGGGGAGACCTGCTGGGGCTGGTTTCTCCTGGAGTCTGCGTTCAGCGAAAGGGAGCCGGTGGGTGGCTGTCGGTGCTGCTGGGAAGAGGCCTGCGTCGTCGTCATCCCTGCGGCAAACGGAGGGAAACGTCAGCAAACGGGCTCCCGCGGGGGTCTTCCCGTCACTCGTTCCCATGCCAAAGGGTAGTTCTGGCAAGGCTAACCCTGAACACGCTTATTTCTCCACCACATCTCCAACACAGGTTGGATTTCAGATGTGGTGGAGGTGTGAGGAAATTTTGGGTAGTAGTACATGAAGAACTAAAGGAGATGTTGAAAATATCAGTAACAAAGAAACCAAATCTCCTTGGATTGATAGACGAAGAGATACCACGGGGGGGGGGGGGTTCTATATGCAAGTACAGCTGCTAGAATAGTGATTGCTGCCCAACGCCCAACACAGGCCCCTTGAAATTGCAGTCCTTTCTCCTAACATGCACAAACTATACCCACAAAGGAGGAATGGACTTGTAAACTAAATGAATATTTAATTTTGTCAAAATTAACTGCTATAATAAGAAATCAGTCGAATCAAAAATTTAAAAAGGAGTGGAAATGTTTTGATGAAAATATGGCAAAATATTGCTCAAAAAAAGATACGCTAATATGCCTAGATTAATATGTGAAGTCCTGGATGGTAGAAAAATTAATAAGCAAAGATAATAATATATAGATGATTTGAGAAGACTGTAGAATGCAAAGATTATTGTAAATTGCATAATGTGGAGGAAATTGAGTGGGGGCGGAGGGAAGTAGAAGGAAGGAGAAAAGAATAATGTAATGGATCGAGGAAATATAAATGTAAATGTATGGGGAGATGGGGAGGAAATGATGTTGGCTTTGGTACATTTGTAATGTAATATGTGAAAACAAATAAAATAAAATAAACCCTGAACACGCTTCAAAATACACAATCTGGACTCCCTCAGAAGGCGGTGGACTCTGTCATTGCAGGTTTGGGTGGCCATCCGTCAGGGGTTCTTCAGCTGTGATTTCTGCATTGCAGAAAGTTGGGCTGGATGACCCTTGGGGTCCCTTCCAGCTCCTAACATTCTACGATTCTATGGGCTCTCTATAAGGCAGCTTCTTCAGAACTGCCTACAGTGACGGATATTCTAAGACTGAAACTCCCCTCACTCTTGGCTACCGTCCACGTCAACTGGAGCTGAGTCCAGCGACTTCTAGAGGGCAGCAGGTCCCCCCCAGGCCTGGTCTGCAATGACCGGCAACAACTCTACGATCTCCCTCCACCCGCATGGGCTGAGAACTATTACCATGCTCAGCTGTCCTGGCAACCTAATAAACTCAACTCCCAAACAAGATGACCCCCTGGGCAGCGGGAGAGGGGCTAAGTCAGGTTACATCTGAGGCTGCAGCTTCATTTCCATCCCGCTGCATGCTGAACGTGCCAGGTGTAGACAGGGCATCCTACGCATTCTGAGATGAGCTACAGGGTTTCCATCCTATGTTATACTCCATTATATCCTAACGTCCTGGAACTTGCATGCGTTAGTGGCTCCCAGTACGTTTCCGAGCACAATTCAAAGTGTTGGTGCTGACCTTTAAAGTTCTAAACGGCCTCAGCCCAGTATACCTGAAGGAGCGTCTCCACCCCCTTTGTTCTGCCCGGACACTGAGGTCCAGCTCCGAGGCCCTTCTGGCGGTTCCCTCCCTGAGAGAAGCAAAGCTACAGGGAACCAGTCAGAGGGCCTTCTCGGAAGTGGTGCCCGCCCTGTGGAACGCCTCCCATCAGATGTCAAGGAAATAAAGAACTATCTGACTTTTAGAAGACACCTGAAGGCAGCCCTGTTTAGGGAAGTGTTTAGTGTTTTTAGTTTTATTCAGTTTTTAGTCCTCTGTTGGGAGCCACCCAGACTGGCTGGGGAGACCTGGCTGGATGGGCGGGGTATAAATATGATGATGATGATGATGATTAGTGGTTTTGGGAGGACTAGCCAACTCCTCCAATAGCTGATTGGTTGAAGGGCCTTTGCTATCTTGCAGTGTATGAAAAAGGTACTTTTGCCCGGAGATGAAAAAAGCACACCTTTCCTGAGATTTGGGCCCCCTCTTCAGAGCTGTTTACATGATATGCACACCATGTGGGCTTTGCCAGTCTTCTCCCCCCTTCCTCACTGCTTCTCTCCTTTTCTTCTTTTTCTTTTAAATTCTTGGTTTCGACCACATGTGCATGATCTGTATTCTTGTTTTGTTATTTTTCTGTTGTGAACCTCCCTGGGATCTCTGGATTAAGGGTGGTATATAAATGTAATAAACAAATCATCATAATCACCATCTTTCTAAGGAGCTCAGGGGCTCTCTTCCCTCTACCCCAAAAGTTTGGGTTTCGTAGGTTTGCCGTGATGAGGAGACAAGGAGAAAGAAACTGAACTTTTAAACAGCGATTTGCAAAATGGGTATAAGAGGCACAGCCAAAAAGGGGGCTGAAAGTTGTCTTAGAAAATTAAAGCACTGTATTTTGGAGGTATCCGATGCTCTGCTACCCTCAGAGGAAGCAGGCTCTGCCCAACATCGTCCAAGGGGGTTGGACTAGATGACCCTCTAGGACCCTTCCAACTCTATGGTTCTGTGGGCCTCCGCCTGCTAACTGCCGCTCCCTATCGCCAGATACGCTTGGCCTTCTGTCAAATGGAATTACTTCACAAAGACAGGGCTTGGTTTTCAGATCTCCCTCCACCCAGAACGACAAACTAGACAAAGGAGGTTTGCAACAGTGAACAGCGAGCTTAGACAGGAAGTGGCATTGCAGGACAGGAAGTGAAGTCACACCGTCATTCTGGGCAGCTGCAGCCGCAACACCCCTTACCCTGATTGGCTGTGCTGATGCCCATATGCGTCAAGTTGGCCGCAAGGTTCCCGGTGCTGTTGGAACTGCTGAGGGACGGGAAAGGGGATTCTTCTGGGTCCAGCGGCGTCGGGAGAGGAGAGGGGAAGTGGATGTTTGTCAGGTCCGGCAGGGAACCACCCGTGTTGTGAGTGGCGGGGATAAGTGTGGTAGTGTTTTCCTGGTCAGCTGACGGAAAGATGCTGTGCTCAAGAAGAAACCGGGGGGGGGGGAGAGAGAAAACTGAACCATTTGACAGACAAAAATACCCCAAGACCACATAGTTATCTCAGTTCAAGCACTGTGCCACACCACAGTTAGGCTTTCCCATGATGTCTCAACTAAGCCTTGCCTCCCATTGTTCTTAGGACTCCCCAATGAGTTGCAACTACAGTGGTAACCTCTGGATGTGCACACCTCCGGTTGCATATCCTTCAGGATGTGAATGTGGGGAACCTGGAAGTATTTTTTTGGGTTTCGCCGTGTGCGCATGCACAGAAGCGCTTCACCACGCTGCACGCATGTGCAAAAGCGGTCCCTCCAGTTGCGGAAACCTCGGGATCCGACCGGAGCTCCAGAACAGATCCTGTCCACAACTGGAGGTACCACTGTACCTATTTCCTAGAGTTGCTAAAGCAATGACACTGTACTTTCTTTGTTGTCAGTTACACAGGAAGATACAATAGCCATCTTCCAAAATCTAAAGGGCTGTCACATGGAAGACAGAGCCAGCTTGTTTTCTCCTGCTCTGGAGGGTAGGGACCCAACCAATCGCTTCAAGTTACAAGAAAGAGGAGATTCCAATTAAACCAGGAATCAGCAACCTTTTTCAGCCGTGGGCCGGTCCACCGTCCCTCAGACCTTGTTGGGGGCTGGATCATATTTTGGGGGGGAAATGAATGAATTCCTTTGCCCCACATACATACCCAGTGATGTATTTTAAATAAAAGCACACATTCTACTCATGTAAAAACACGCAGATTCCCGGACCACCCGTGGGCCAGATTTAGAAGGCGATTGGGCCGCATCCGGCCCACAGGCCTTAGGTTGCCTACCCCTGGATTAAACATTAGAAAGAGCTTTCTGATGGACAGTGGGACAGACTCTCTTGGAAAGTGGCAGACTCTCCTTCCTTGGAGGTTTTTAAGCAGAGGTTGGTCATCCATCCAGGATGCTTTGCTGAGATTCCTGCCTTGCAGGGGGTTAGGCTAGATGACCCTTGGGGTCCCTTCCAACTTCATGATTCGACATGACTCTTCCCAGCACACCCACAGGAAGGGACAACAGAAGACGGGGAAGGATCCAACTAAGTTATACTCACAGCAGACCCCTCTGAATTTAATTCAGCCTAGGATGTTCACCAATTACAGTGGGTCTGTTCAGAGTATGACCAACGGGGGATATAACCCTTTGTTTCTACAAAAAAGCCAGCCAAAGTGTCCTACCAATGCAGAAACCAAACAACCCCGACTCTTTCACGTACTTGATTCCTGGGACCTCACAGGATTTGGGCCTTGAGGATCCGGTCTGAAAGAGAGAGAGACAGAGAGAGAAACAGAGTCATTCCTTTTCTGCATCATTTATATAGGCTGCACAATCTAATCATGAGCTGTCAGGACACCTTGTTTTCAAAAGAGAGCTTATAAGCCAAAAGGTATCGCCACCCTGAACGCTCTTAATTAAGCCCTAGAAGCAAACCCAACTTTCCCCAGGGTTGGAACAAGTTTATGTAGCTGTGTAGCATGTCACACTGGGGCAGAATCAGTGCCTTTACCTTCTTAGCTTCCCACCCTTGCTTCGAGAGGTTCTTCTCTGTATCCGCTGTGTCTTCCTCCATGCCTGGGACGGCCAACAGTAAGACTACAAGAAATTAATTTAAAGGTGGGGGGGAAATCTCATTATGGATCAGCAAAAGGTGCCCTAAAAACGAGACTCCGTTGGACCCAAGCGGGTAAAACTAAACTGCATTTTTTTAAAAAAAAACAACAACTTGAAAGTCTATGCATATTTGTTGCTTTCCCTTGTTCTTCCTTTTTCCTAAAAAAAGGTCCTTTATGTGTACTGACCTGACTTTCGATATGTATATTTTTAGGACCAACCTTATTTCTGTGGTTGTAAGTTGCATTGTGTAATTTACAGCTTTGGGGGGGGGGGGTTGAAGTTTCAGACTATTCATTAAAAGCCCTTTCCGCCTCCCTCCCATGTTCAAAGACAAAGCAGATATATATACTTCACCTCTTTTTTGCTGCATGTCCTGTGACCCAGCTAAGAAAGGCTCCGCCTGAGTGGGAGTCATCGTACTCTGGTGCAGGGCAGAATCTGAATTGGTCCTGGTTGAGAAAGGGCAGACAAAAACTATCAGAGCTGGAAAGTGGCCAACCTCCCACCCGGCTTTGAAAAGGAGTGCGGGAAATCACTAGCTTGATGTCTGTCTGGATTTTGGCTAAATGTTAGAGGAAACTTCCTAATGAAAGGAGTTGTTCGACAACAGGACAGAGGCTGCCTTATGGGCTCTCTGTGGTTGGAGATATATAGAATCATAGAATCATAGAGTTGGAATAGACCACAAGGGCCATCGAGTCCAACCCCCTGCCAAGCAGGAAACACCATCAGAGCACTCCTGACATATGGTTGTCAAGCCTCTGCTTAAAGACCTCCAAAGAAGGAGACTCCACCACACTCCTTGGCAGCAAATTCCACTGTCAAACAGCTCTTACTGTCAGGAAGTTCTTCCTAATGTTGAGGTGGAATCTTCTTTCTTGTAGTTTGGATCCATTGCTCCGTGTCCGCTTCTCTGGAGCAGCAGAAAACAACCTTTCTCCCTCCTCTATGTGACATCCTTTTATATATTTGAACATGGCTATCATATCACCCCTTAACCTCCTCTTCTCCAGGCTAAACATGCCCAGCTCCCTTAGCCGTTCCTCATAAGGCATCGTTTCCAGGCCTTTGACCATTTTGGTTGCCCTCCTCTGGACACGTTCCAGTTTGTCAGTGTCCTTCTTGAACTGTGGTGCCCAGAACTGGACACAGGACTCCAGGTGAGGTCTGACCACAGCAGAATACAGTGGTACTATTACTTCCCTTGATCTAGATGCTATACTCCTATTGATGCAGCCCAGAATTGCATATAAGGAGCAGCTGGGCAGAAATTGGATGAAGGGAGCTCAGAGCAGGATCTTGCAACACCAGCATCCCTAACTGGCGTTTTCTGAACACCAGTTGCTGGAAGCCACCAGAGGAGAGAGTGTGAACTTGTGCTCAGGTCCTGCTCGTGGGTTTCCCACTGGGGCCTCTGGTTGAGGATGCTGGACTCAATGGGCCAATGGCCGGATCCTGCAGGCTCCCTGTTTGCAGTTCTTTCTCCCCGCCAGCCCACCCCTGTCCCGACAAAGAACTGCAGTTTTTAAAGCAGGACCGTGCTAGACAGGAGGAGGATCAACGGGGGACATTTTGCAAACGGAATAGCCTGAGTTCAAAAATCAGCACTTACGTACCTCCTCCAGCTTGTGTCTGAAGGAGGCGACAGGTAGACGGTACCATACGGACAGCTGTCCACGTGAGTCGGGCAGTCAAGGAAGAAGGGAAGGTATCCAGAGCTTCTTGGGAAAGTTTCAGCAATAAAAGTTTTAAGTGATCGACAGGCCTTGTTGGGCGTCATATATTTACACACAGACACCACATGGTGTTTGGTCAGCACAGGGCTACTTCACCAAGCCCCCAGTTTTGCAAAGAAACCCACTGCACTTAATGGGGAAGAGCTACAAAACGGTGTTCGGACGGTGTTTGCTTTCTGTTCTCTCTCCCTCTCTCAATGCCTTGCTTCCTCTTAGAATCATAGAATCCTAGAGTTGGAAGAGACCACAAGGGCCATCGAGTCCAACCCCCTGCCAAGCAGGAAACACCATCAGAGCACTCCTGACATATGGTTGTCAAGCCTCTGCTTAAAGACCTCCAAAGAAGGAGACTCCACCACACTCCTTCTTTCCTTTCGCCTGACATTTCCCTTCACCTCTGGCTAAAGCTGATCTCAAAGCACTGCTTCATCCTTCTCTTACGGATGGCTTCATGGCCTTTCAGATGAAAATTAACTAGGGCTACGCCACATCCCACCTCAGAATGAAAGGGGGGTTCTAGAGGGGCCCTAAATTTGGGAGAGATGGGAAGCAGGGCACGTTAAGTCGTCTCTGCTGAAAGACCAGCTTCATCAGATGCCTCCTGCCCCTGGGCTTCTTCTAGGCCAGACAGCCATTCTCAGAACTACTTTTTAAAGAACTGACGCCTGAGCTTGCTTTTTTCCTCTTCCTTCCTGGTCTTTCCTTGTGCACAGTGTATTTTTAATGTGTTACCAGTTCAGGTTTTTGTGTGTTCCCAGCAGCTAATGATAAGCTGCACCTTCCTAAACATCTCCCAGGCACATGCATCCCCTCCTATGCTCTAGGCCGCAATGCTGAGCCAAAGGATATCTGCCTGCCGTGCTTATCCACGGACAGCGGGCGCCGGTGGGGCGAGCCAAGGCGGTTCCGGTCGCGATACACCCTGTCCACCAGCCCATGGTGCCGGGTCGTCCTGCTGGTGTCCAATCCTGATGACTGAAACGGAGTCTAAAGAGAAAGGCAAATGGGCAGTGAAAGGGCAGGGAAAACAACCCTGTGACAACATTGCAGGGGATTCGACCAGATGACCCTGGGGGGGGGGTCTCTTCCAATTCTACCAGTGTGGCAAATTGCCTTCATGCATATGGTTAGCAAAGTTTAACCTGGCTTCATAGGAATAATGGTGCGCTTGAAGTCCATCAGTTTCAATGATGCTACAAACGCTTTCAAATCTTTTATATAGTATTTCAAAACTGAGAAACAGGCTTGGCCTCTCTCCTGCATAGTAGCTAATAATTTCCTACAGACCAAGCAAGAATATTTGTGGGGTATTATTCATAGAATCATAGAGCTGGAAGAGATCCCCAGGGGTCATCTAGTCCAACCCTCTGCAATGCAGGAATCTCAGCTAAAGCATCCAGGACAGGTGGCCATTCAAAACTGAATTACTCATATTACTAGTAATATTTGCATGCGCACAAACACCAAAAAACAAAACAAAACACCTTTGAAGACTGATATCAAGTTATGGGACCTGAATACAGTGGTGCCTCGCAAGACGAAATTAATCCGTTCCGCGAGTCTCTTCTTGTGGTTTTTTCGTCTTGCGAAGCACTGCTATTAGTGGCTTAGCGGCTTAGCGGCTATTAGCGGCTTAGCAGCTATTAACGTCTTAGCGGCTATTAACGGCTTAGCGGCTTTAAGAAAAAGGAAACAAACTCACAAGAACTCGCAAGACGTTTCGTCTTGCGAAGCAAGCCCATAGGGAAATTCGTCTTGCGGAACGACTCAAAAAACAGAAAACCCTTTCGTCTAGCGAGTTTTTCGTCTTGCGAGGCATTCGTCTTGCGGGGCACCACTGTACAGGTGTCTGAACCAATTAGGGAGGTTTTTAATGTTGGAGGTTTTTTTGTGTTTTGATATTTTGTTGGAAGCCACCCAGAGCGGCTGGGGCAACCCAGTCAGATGGGTGGCATATAAATATTATTATTATTATTATTATTATTATTATTATACACAATGTCTTGGGTTCTTTTGGAGGAAGGTGCAGGATACACATATATCTAGATCTAGATATATACAGATATATAGATATCTATGAATGAGTGACAAAATAATGTATACAGCTCCTTTTAGTGCAGCATTTGGATACTGCTTTTTAGATGGAGGGGGGAAAGAAATTAAGAGAAATATCTGCCGATGCTCTCGGGCAGAAAGGGCAACCCTCACCTGGAAAGGTAGGTCCATAGCGCTGCTCCCAATCTGATTGACATTTGGCAGGGATCCTCCATAGTACTGGCCACGGGTCTGGCCCAACTGCAAATACTGGTTTTTCTGTAGCTGTAGCTGGAAAACAGAGAAAGAGGAAGATTAATTAAGCTGTGCAGGTTCCAGATGGGGAAGGAACAATCCTGGGCTGGCCAGGAGGAGATATGGAACCCAAGCACCTGGCAAGGTTGTACCCAACCAACCTCACAGTTGGATTTCTGCAATGGATTTACCTTTGGGATTAGTTCAGAGGATGCAACTGGTGCAGAACGCAGGGGCTAGGTTGCTTGTAATGCTCTGCTCGCCCTGGCTGCTACTGAGCCAAGTTCAATGTGTTGATACTCAAGATCCTACATAACTGAAAGACCAGGTTGCTTGAGAGACTGTCTTATCTCTTACACAAGCAGTAGATCACTGAGGACTGCCGGAAAGCTTCTCCCGTGTGCTCCAAAGATCTGAGAAGCCTGCTCCATACTAACTTGCAGCCGGGCTTTTAGTGTTGCTGCTCCTGCCCTGTGGAACAGCATGCCCGTTGAGATATAGCAGGTGCCCACTAGCTGTACTTTCTGGAAGGGACTGCATTTCTTTGCTTTGGAATCTTGTAAACATCTTATTGCAATCAAGTGGCATATAAACTATGTTAATTACGCATTTATTTAAAAAGCCAAGCCAACCTCAGGCCAATTTGAAGAACACATGCCCATGGGTATCTGCTCGCCATGAGGGCTGGTACAGATGCAACAGCCACATTTCCGAGGCAGCTTGACTCTGAATGCCCATTTAACAAGAGGAGGGGGGAGTCCTGCCTTCTGGTCCCTGAGTTTGTGGGCTGCATGGAGGCATCCAATTGCGCAGAGGAGGGAAAAGAGGGTGCTGGTCTAGACATCTACCTCTGGCCTGACCCAGGCATGAACAGGAAGGACGGGAGCAAGGAGGCATTTTCAGTGTGTTCCCGCGGTTCCCCAACTTTTTGGGGGGCCCCACCCCCTCGGCTCCACAAACTCATCTCCAGTAAGCCCCTACCCTACACAAAGCATAATTAAGAATAGCAGTTTGCACTAAGGAAACAACCCACTAAGGAAGATAAGAAAACAATAAAATTCAAAACCAATTGCACATGTATTCAATATCCAATCAAAACAATTTCATTTTATGAATTCAACAAAACTGATGAACTTGATCCAGCTTTTCAAAGTCCGATAGGCATTTACACCCCACAGAGCCTCCTGCCTCTTAGGGTCCCCCTAGATAACCCCACTGCCCCCAGGGGAGGTACTGCCCACTTTGGGAAACATTAGCCCATGCTGAAAGAAGCATCGCCATTCCCAACAGCCAAGTTCCTGACTAACTGGACAAAAAAGGAAGGGGAGGGGATATTATACATTATTAAGATTTATACCACAACCCCTTTTAAACACATCATCAGCTTCAACACCAGCAGATCTGGTGAAAGCAACACAAATATATACAGGTCGTGATAACACAGGTCAGTCTTTCCTGGTGCCTTGCAGAAGTCTCAGACTACAGTTCCCATCAGCCCTGGGGACACATGGCCCTGCTGGCTGATGGGAGCTGTAGTCCAAAACAGATTTCACATACTAACCACCCATTGAATATCAGACAGCCAGTGAACACAGAATGGTTACCGTATTAGCTTTGTGGTCCCCACAGATGCAAAGAGGATCTTTTTACCCACTGCTCCAGAATCTGATCAAGAAAATATGAGCGTCTTTTTGAGTTTGCCTTGGGTTTTAATCCACAATTTAAACCACTCACAAAAAAACACCATTCCTGAAGCCTCAAAGGGTTTAGGAAGCACTTTGCTTCCCCTCCTTAAAATAGGACCAGTTGGTAACATTATCATGATGATGATAAATTGAAAAGACCCTGATGTTGGGAAAGATGGAGGGCCCAAGGAGAAGGGGACGACAGAGGACGAGATGATGGGACAGTGTTCTCGAAGCGACCAGCATGAGTTTGACCAAACTGCGGGAGGTAGTGGAGGACAGAGGTGCCTGGCGTGCTCTGGTCCAGGGGGTCACGAAGAGTCGGACCACGACTAATGACTAAACAACAAAGGGTAAAGGGCAGGCTAACAATAATAATAATGAAAGAAAGAAAGAAAGAAAGAAAGAAAGAAAGAAAGAAAGAAAGAGTTGTAAGCTGTCTCCTTTAGGGTAAAGGGCAGGCTAACAATAAAATAATAGAAAGAAAGAAAGAAAGAAAGAAAGAAAGAAAGAAAGAAAGAAAGAAAGAAAAGAGTTGTAAGCTGTCTCCTTTAGGGTAAAGGGCAGGCTAACAATAAAATAATAGAAAGAAAGAAAGAAAGAAAGAAAGAAAGAAAGAAAGAAAGAAAGAAAGAAAGAAAGAAAGAGTTGTAAGCTGTCTCCTTTATGGGTAAAGGGCAGGCTAACAATAAAAATAATAGAAAGAAAGAAAGAAAGAAAGAAAGAAAGAAAGAAAGAAAAGAAAGAAAGAGTTGTAAGCTGTCTCCTTTAGGGTAAAGGGCAGGCTAACAATAAAAATAATAGAAAGAAAGAAAGAAAGAAAGAAAGAAAGAAAGAAAGAAAGAAAGAAAGAAAGAAAGAAAGAGTTGTAAGCTGTCTCCTTTAGGGTAAAGGGCAGGATGACAACAACAACAACAACAACAACAACAACAACAACAACAACAACAACATCCAGCAACAACAACATCCAGCCCTTCTTAAAGATGAACTGGGACCATTTGCATGCAAAGCTTGTGCTCTGCAGCTGAGCGACGGCCCTTCCATATGGAACATGCTGAAATCAGCAGACCATTTTTACGCAGGATCTGTAAGCAAGCCATTTAAGCAGACATAACCAGGAGCTCTATTAAAACAAACACGCACAGACCAGCAGCCCCCTGCCAATTACACCCAGAGCCTAGAAATGTCCTAAGAGCTTTTACATTATTAATGCAGCTTAGTTAAAAAAGAAAAAGAAATGAAATGTAATCAATACGGGCCGCTGGAAGTCAGGGCGGAACGGACCGGGAGCCAGAAACATTTTATCAATCAGCAGATGCGCTGCTCTTGCCAGGCCGGGCCCTGGACCTAATGAGGCAGCCGTGGCGCACCTTCCCATCCCAGAGCAAACAGAAGATTCGCACCGCCCCATCGATCCGCACAACCCATTGCTGAGGGCTAGGCGGCGCAGAGAACCCTGTAGGCGGACGAGAACAGCAGCCCGTTGCTGGCTCAGGCCGGCCTGTTCCAGCAATCGGCTTCCAAGAGCCAAAGCCGGGGGGGAGCCTCACAAGAAAAGAAGGCATTCCCTTTTTGCTGGGGCCCAGCGCCTGTAACTCCCCGAGGTAAACTGCCTTGGGAGGAGGAGGTTCTACTTACAGGTGGTTCTGCTGCAACACTTAGGGATGGGCAGAGCACATTCACGACATGCCTCTCTTATTATTACTGTTGTTGTTATTTGTTGCATTTAAATATCACTTATTTTGTCCAAGGAGCTCCAGGTGGCGTGCATGGTCCTCCCCCTCCTCACTGACCCAAGAGAAGCCTTGAGGATCATTACCCAGAGAGCTGCATAGCCGAGTGGAGATTTGAACCCTCATCTCCCAGGTCCTAGTCTGGAACTGTAAACGCTACCTGAGCGCTGGCTCTCTTCTGCGACAGGAGTGCAGACGGCGCCCCTCCAGGCATGAAGTGTGCACAGGTCTGCTTGGCTCCAGCAAAAAATGGCTGCATCTCAGGCCTTGAGGCTATGCCCTGGGGCTTAGGCGTAGAGAAGGTCCCAGGGCCTCCTATCGCAGAGAGAGATGATAGCAGGAGTGGGCCACATTCCCTCAGAGGGAAGCATCTAAGGGGCTGTACCGCAGTGACAGGCAGGGGCCGAGGAAAAGGAGACAGAACAATGGCATGAGACTCTTACCCAGGGGTCAGCAAACTTTTTCGGCAGGGGGCTGGTCCACTGTCCCTCAGAACTTGTGGGGGGCCAGACTATATTTTGGGGGGGAAATAATGAACGAATTCCTATGCCCCACAAATAACCCAGAGATGCATTTTAAATAAAAGCACACATTCATGTAAAAACACCAGGCAGGCCCCACAAATGACCCAGAGATGCATTTTAAATAAAAGGGCACATTCTACTCATGTAAAAACACGCTGATTCCCGATCCGGATTATAAGGTGATTGGGCTGGATCTGGGCCCCGGGCCTTAGTTTGCCTACCCATGTTCTTATCTGTGCATCTGAGGCTGCACTCCAAGTGTGCAAAAGACCAAAGTGTCTATGCATCCCTTCAATCCCTTCAACCAAGAGGCATCATCAGAGACCAAGGACACAGTCTAATCAGACAAAAGCCCTCGAGGAGAACAGAGAAGAGGGAGGGTGAAAATCCCAAGGGCCATACAGAGAGATTTGGCCCCCAGGGCCTAAGATTTCCCACTCCTGCCAGTCACTCAAACAATTTAGGTTAGACAATATGCCCGAATATTGATGTGTGTTTTAATCTATTTTAGCTTATTGCCCTGTTTAATTTTTTTCAGTGCTTTAAATTGTTGCTTCTGATTGTTTTCATCAACATACTCTTTTTGTAAACCGCTTTGAGGCATTTTGCATTTTTTTTGTTTCACAATCAAGTGGAGCATACATTTCATCGTAGAGTTGGAAGGGATGCCAAGGGCCATCTAGTCCTACCCCTTGCAATACAGGAACCTCAACTCAAACATCCATGACAGAGGAAATAAATGAATTTAGCTAAACGCCTACTCCTGAGATGAAAGGAGTGACCAAAATAAAGCGTCAACGCACATGCAGAGAGAGAGACAAAAAGCAAGAGATGCCCACTGCCGAGCGGGATAAAAATAGCTTTTTTTCTGTTCCTGGTGTTTTTAAAATTATTTTTAGCTGCAGCCATGAATATGCAGTTATGTAAGCGGGCACAGCTCCTGATAAATCAGAAAGCAAACAGGAGGGAATGTTTACATTCTTCGCGGAAAAGCGTAGTGGCTGGATGGCAGAAAGGCAGCACGCGCAGGCAGGTAGTGGCGGGGGGGGGGAGCAGGAGAGAGAGGGAGGGAGGGACGTGCCCATCGCCAGTCT